TATAAATTTATATCACTAACATAAAATTTGGTTTTAACTAATTTATATATAAATATATAAATTTCATTAAAGGTATCATTAACTTGAACATTTAATTATATAATTAAAAGTATCTTTATACAAATGTTTTTGTTTGATTAATATTTAATTAAAATCGATTTTATATTTTAATTTTTAAATTTTATAATATAATGATATTATTTTTAAAAGCCAAAATCAATTTTATATAAAATTAAGATCTATAAGCATTATCATGTTGTTACAATATTATATTCAGATAATAATAACATATATAAGAATTATCTTGTTTTTGTATTTTATAAACTTATTATATTAATTATTCTTTATTATCTAAGATAATAACATACTATACTTATCTAATTTTATTTTTTAAATTTTGTTTTTAACTATAAAATTAGTTATATATAAAAATTTCATTAAGGGTAAAATAGATATTAACCGCTTTAACTTTTAACGTGAGAGCTCCGTTGCGAAAAATCACTTCGCAAATAATAGTATAGATTTAATGTTTTATTAAATAAGTTTTTAAAAACTGATTTTGCTATGCTTTTCAAAAAAGGGAGAATTATATTTTATAAATCTAAACTATTGAAATAGAAGAAACGAAAAAAATGAAGAGTTGGGACACCCACGATCTGTCTCCTTGGACTCACCATTGACCCACTTGAAACTCCAGAAAAATCACTCATCTTTCAATTTCTCTTCTTTCTCTCTCATAAATGGATTTCTCCAATCAAGTTTTTAAGGGTTTATAGCAAAACAAGTTTCTGAAATTAAGATTTTTTTAAGTTTTAAAGACTAGGGATCGGGTTAAAACAATGCTTTCGGGTCATAAATCAGATTTTAACTGGGTTTGGTTATGTCTAAAATAGGTTTATTTCGGTTTAATACTGGCTCACCCACATAAACCATTAAATTTGACGATGTGGAGATATAGAGTTTGATATTTGTAATCGGGGGGAATCGGGATGTGAACTTTGTATTTGTGGGGAAATAGAATGTGGCCTAAAGTCTGTGTGGAACTGGTGGTATATGATACTTCTCAGGGGGAAATAGAGTGTCACCCCATATCTTTTTGGTCTAGGTGATTTTTAATTTTTAATTCTTCAACCCTAGAAATAATTTTGGATCATCACTTTTATCATCTAATTAGTTATATTAAAACCATCAACACATGTATATTATAGCCATAAAATTTTATTTGCATGTGAAAGACTCTAAATAACGATTGTGTGAATAACCTGTTTATAATATAACATAACTTATTAACCATAGTTTTTGTGAAGACAAAAATTATAATTTTATCATGATAAATAGTAAAATAAATAAATAAATTATTTTATCATATATTGTAATAAGGTTGATGAAGACAATCTTAGATGTCATTAAGAAGTTCTTCTAATTTCCTTTTAACTATATGACATTTAATATCATATATATCATTTGGAATTTTATATAACTTTATAAACTTAATTCATCCCATACATATTAAACCCTAAACACTAAATCATAAATTCAGATGTTCTGGAGTTTTTTATGTAGTATTAAAAATAGTATTTAAGTTATAGTATTTCAAATAATTTCTATAGTTTTTTCCAGTTTTTTAGTTTACAACTTTTTCTATATGTATTTAATTTATAGTTATTTTCAAGTTACTTGTTTCTCCTTTTCTAGTAACAATAAGACTGTATTTATAAACTTGTCTGTTGTTACATCTGAATTAATTTTTAATGATATATTTTCATAATAGCATTTTAATAAAAAAAATTAGAAATACTATATATTAAAATATATATGAAAAAGAAGACCATAAAACTTGATTTAATTTTGACAAAATACATATAAAGAACATTTACGGTGATAATAATAATAATCTATTTTATGACCAAACACAAAAATACCAAACATGTGTTTGATTTTTGTATGACCAAACACATACAAAAACCAATATAAAGATTAATCACGACAAACTCTTATTTTAATTTTTAGTTAATCATAAAATAACATAAAATAAATATTTGAAATAAATATTCTAAAAATATTATTTGTTTAGAACTTGAAAAAAGGAAAACTACTGTTAAACATTTTTTTAGAATTTTCTTATGTTCAAGATTTTATAAAATGCTATCATATATGTTTTTCAGTTACCATTTCTTCAGGATTTTGGAAAAGATAAATTAGTATCAAATAAATTATTTTGCAAATCTTTTTTATTTAAAATTTTTAATATAAAATGGTTTATAAAAATTTATTTTCTGTAATTTCTATAATTAACTTTATTAGTAAAATCATTTTCATTATCTTAGTATATATTGTTTGTTAATCATGATTAATTTTAACATATATAAAACTTTTAAACGGAAAATTACTATTAAATAATCTTTTATAGTAATTTTTTCTTTAGAATGTTCGAAAAACCAATTACTAATTAATAATTTATTTTACAATTTTTTTTTGATTCGGGATTTGTAAACAGGAAAATTACAATTAAACACTCTTTACTTCTTTTTTTACTTTTAAACAATATTTAAAATTAATATGTTAAAATTTCCTTTTTATTATTTTAAATCTTTTTGTTGAGTATTTGTGAAAAGGAAAAATTACAATTAAACACTTTTAACTTCTTTTCTTTTAAATTTTATTTTTTTTAGATTAATATCTTCAAAATTTGGCTCTATTATCTTAGTATATGTCTACTAAAAATCATCATCAGTTTAAGAAGAAAATAACATAAATAATATTTGAAATAATTATTTTACAAATATTTTCTGGTTAAGATTTGAAAATGGAAACCTACTATTAATTATTCTTTCATAATTTTCTTATTTTCAAGATTTTAGAAACGGATAATTACTATAAATGAGTTTTTTCAGTTACCTTTTCTTCAGGATTTTGGAAAAGGAAATTATTGTGAATTTGTTTTTTGTACAAAACTTTTTAAATGAAAATATTTTATAAAAATTTCTATTAACTAATTTTTAATATTAGTTTTGGTAGTAAAAATCATTTTCATTATCTTCGTATTTATATTTTGCTAATCATAATATATTTTAATATATATAAAAATTTTAAAAGGAAATTAATATCAAATAATTTAAAAAGTTTAATTTTTTTTTAATTTTAAATAGTTTTTAAAATTAATATTCAAAATTATTTTTACTATCTTAGTATATATATTTGTAATCATGAGATATTTTAATACATGTCATAATATTAAAAGGAAAATTATTATAAAATATGGTTTTTGTATCTTTTATTTAGTATTTAAAAAATAGAAAATTACTATTACATAATATTTCTAATTATTTTTTTAATGAAATTCGTTTTTGTCATTATCTAAATAATTATATATACATATATTTATATATAATTTAACACATGTCACAATCTTAAATATATAATTGTCATGTATCGTAATTTTGTTAATTGATAACTTTGAACAACCAAGCTTAGTTTATAAAAATTGCTATTAACTAATTTTTAAAATTAATTTTAGTAGTAAAAATTATTTTCATTATTTTCGTATATATATGTTGTTAATCATAATATATATAAAATTTTTAAAAAGAAATTAATATCAAATAATTAAAAACGTTTAATTTTTTAAATAAATTTTAAAATTAATATTCAAAATTATTTTTATTATCTTAGTATATATATTTTTAATCATGAGATATATTAATACATGTCATAATATTAAAAGGAAAATTATTATAAAATATGGTTTTAGTAAGTATCTTTTATTTAGTATTTTAAAAATGGAAAATTACTATTACATAGTATTTCTAATTAATTTTTTAACAAAATTCGTTTTTGTCATTATCTAAATAATTATATATACATATATTTATATATAATTTAACACATGTCACAATCTTAAATATATAATTGCCATGTGTCATAATCTTGTTAATTAGTAACTTTGAAAAACCAAGCTTTATATAATAAGACTAGATATTTAAGATAATTATTTAAAATTTAAATACTTATTTTAGATATTATCAAGTTAAATATAGAATTAAAATTTTGAAATATATATTTATGGTTCAAATATTTATATTTGGATATTCAAATCGATTCTTTGGATATTTTTTTTTTATTTTCGATCATCCATTCGGATCCGGTTAATATCGTATATATTTTGTATCATCCTACAAGATCTTTTTTTTTAACAACATTCTAAAACTAAAAAGCTGGACCTGCCGATTCGGAAAGCCAAACCGGAGGTGTGGAATTGACATAGAAAATAGCTGAAGAAGAACTCATCGCATCCCATGCAAGCTTGTCCGCCATTTGATTTTGTGCTCTCAGTTTATATCGGATTCGAAGATTGGGAAAGAAAGTCTTATTGCGTCGAAATTCTTCCTTCTGATCCTACGAGATCAATTCTAATATTTTTTACATTTCAAACATGGTACAAATCAAGTTTTTGGTTTGCGTTTGGTTTGAACTTTGGGGTTACAGATTTTATGTCCAAAAATGTGTTTATATAAAATTTTCACAAAATATTATCTTGCGTTTGTGTATTTTATCAAAATCATATACTCACCAAAAAGAAACATTTTTACAATTCAGGCCTTATTGTTGCTTAGTTTTTTTCTTTTTTGATATAATCCTAGAATAAAGTGTCATATAAATGTGAAATATAAAGGAAGACCAACATTTGAAATATACTTGTGTATATAAACATGCATAAGTAAATAAAAGAACATTGAATAACTTGTTCCCTCTGCACTTGCTTTTTCAGACAAAAAAGGAATAATCAAAACTTAAAACTTTAAACTCTAAACATTTGCAGAAGAATCGCATTCTTGCTTTGTTGTGAGGAAGTTTGAAATGAACATAAACTACAATACTTGGCGTGATATGATGGCTTTGTAAACATATAAACTGGTGCCCAGTATATATATATATATAGCATATTGGTTGTTGTAATAAAGTAAACATTAAATCTTCACACCAAAACAATAACCTAACCCATGGATCCTGTAAACCATCTCTTGTGCCCAAGAGAACGATATATAAAAAATAAAGAGCATACCAAACCAGCAAATATTGACGGGCGAAGCGTTCAGTTCAACTATCGCATTGTCAAAAGTTCCTATTTCAATGAAAAGTCTGATAATCTCCATTCTCTATTTCATCGCAACAAAAAAGACGGTGACGAAAAATGCAAAGATTGTAACCTCACGATCGAAGCAGATACTTCTTACTTCTGCAGCTACTGCAATGGTGTATATCACAAAGAATGTGTTGAGGCTCCTTCTATTTACCATTCCTCTGCTCATCCAAAGCATCCTCTTCAACTTCTCTGGTCTAATAAGTTTTGCCCTAACAAAACTTGTTTTTCTTGTGAAGGTCTAACTTTTGGTCAATTATACTATTGCCTTGTTTGTGATTTTGCACTTCATGTTTTTTGCTCGAGAAATCGAACATCCCTTACTATAGATAATCCTAAAAGGCATAAGCATACTCTCCATTACTTTCCTAGGAAATCTACTTTGGCTTGCGATGTTTGTGGATTAGTGGATAAATATGTTCACATACTATACACATGTCTCCTATGCGATTTCCTTGTTCATAGAAGGTGTATAGGCTTACCATATGTTATAAAGGTATCTCGTCATAGTCACCGTCTCGCTTTTACTCCTGGTAATCCTTTCAAGGAGGAACCGGATGATTGTGGAGTTTGTTATCAAAAGATAGACATAAACTACGGACAATATTCTTGCGTGAAAGGATGCGTGTATGCAATGCATTCTGGATGTGCACTACGACGTGACGTGTCCGATGGGAAAGAACTTGAAGGAGAGCCTGAAGAAGAAACATATGATGAAAATAATAATAAAATGTTTGAAGATAAAGGTGATGGAGTTATACATCACGAGGGTCATCCTTGTCATGATCTAATGAAACTTGAAAAACAACAACTCCATGATCATGAAAACAAGCGTTGTCAAGCGTGCATGCTTCCGCTGTGTGATGATGATGGTAATAATGTGTATCGTTGTATTCAACACTGTGATTTCTTTTTACATGAATCATGTGCAAATCTTCCTCGCGTGAAGCAGTTTATGTTACATGTTCATCCATTGATTCTAGAGATTCGTACTTCAGCCACTGGTCACTTCCTGTGTGAGAAATGTCAACGTTACTCATGCGGTTTCGCATATGTGTGTCCGAACGAGGGGTGTGATGATTGGAAGTTAGACACGCTTTGTGCTTCTATATGTGAGCCGTTCAATCACTATGCACATCCACATCTATTGTTCATAACTAGTAGTGTTGACGCAACCTTGAAGTGTTCCATTTGTCAATCAAGGCATAGACAACCTTTAAGTTGTGTTCAATGTGGTTTTGTTCTGTGCTTTTGTTGCGCCACGCGTCCTTATAAACGGAGGTACAAGCATGATGATGAGCATTTACTCGTTTTTTCGTACAAAGAAGATACAAATGATGATCGTGACGACTTTTACTGGTGTGAAATATGTGAGGAATATATTTTTCCGAAGAAAGGCTTTTATGCATGCAACGAGTGTGGAGTCATCCTCCACGTCGACTGTCTACTAGGAAGTGATCTGTATATGAAATCCGGAGAAACTGTTGCTTTCATGGAAAAAAATCTTCATTGTCTTTCCAACACTGATCCAGTTCGACCTATATGCAAAGCTTGCAAAAGGCGTTGTCCTTACAAATTAAAGATACAAGACACATCTTCTAGAGACCTATTCTGTTCTTTTACTTGTTTTAGAGAAAGCATCTGGGGATCTGCGTCTGACTCCGAGTCTGACTCCGAGTCTGACTACGAGTCTGACTCCGAGTCTGACTACGAGTCTGAGTCCGACTGACGATAATCTCTAGGTATTTAGATATTTCTTTATAAGTTAAGCTGTATCAAACAATGTTATCAGAATAATTTCATGTTTTCTTTTCATTTTATTTAAAACTATCATTTACATAGCTCATGACCGGTAACTATATATACGTTACCACCTCTACAAACAAGAGAACAAAAAATTATCTGGGTTCTCAATCTCAATATTAATGACTTGTTGATCTCTTTGTTCATTGTTGATGCAATAACTCATTTGTAAGTTTAATTGGGTCCATTTAAAACATGGGTACATTTTTCTCCCGATTTCCCATTTTTCTCAGTCATCCTCTTTTCCTGAAAATTATAAAACTCTTAGGTTAATTTTCTTAATGTTTTATCAGCTAAATTACATGGAGGTTGTCATTGAGGAAGATCACCGGTTATTCAAGTGACCGCTTCTAGCTTATACAGTTATACCCAAATCACCTGAAGGGAACTTCATGCAAAAGGTTTTGGACGAAGAACACATTAAAATTTGTGAAACTGATACAGTTATAAATATGGTTGACATGAAATATACCTCTGGCTATTGCACATTTGGTTGTGAGAATCTTGTCCCTTGGAAAAACAAGAAGCAAAGAGTATCAAACATATATATATATTAATAAGGCTTAAGGCTCTTCTTTAGGATTTTGAAATCAAAACTCGACAATTTATTATTAAGCATTGCGTCAACTAAACAACTAATCACATTACCTCGAAGCAAGTTTTTAATGAAAAAAATC